ACAGGCTGGTATTATATGTATATATATGGACGAAACAAGAACAGAAAAAATACCTTGTGCATGAGAACTTGAGGGATCCGATATTGAATATGCTCAGAAATACTGCCAAAAAATAAATAGGAAAAGTAGCTTTTCTGGCATTATTATCAGACACACGGGATATTTTTATGGTGGATATGAACAAAAAGTCTTTTGGAAGAAAGATCTTTAAAATGGAACCCTTGTTTTTCAAGTTCGATCTGTTAAAGAGCATTATCTAGATGCAAAGAAAACTAAAAGCATATGTGTGCTTCAAAGTACGTAAGGCAATGATTGCTACTCTAAATACATTGAGTTAACTGGGTCTGTGGGCAAAGTCTAAAGTACAAATAATCCATCAAGGTGACTAATGGTAACAGATAGCAACGACAATCTACCTCGACTATTGTCATATAATTTTATCGACAAACACACATATAAGATACACATTCTTGTTTCCTTAAATCTCTTTTATATATATATATGTATATATGTTTAACTTTCGAGAGCCAGCTGCTATTTCATAAAGAGTGTTGTAATATCTGTGTTATAACTGTATAAAGGTACTGTATTGAGATATAAATTATAAAAAATGTTCAGTCAAGCTATAATAGTAACGTATTCTGTTTGGATTTCGAATCGATTATAAGCAATTACAGCTAATATATCTGAGCAAAAGAAAAAATGTAGAGCACTGGGATTAATCACCCAATTGATTTTCACCAAGCAGGCTTATCTCGTTGTATTAAGGCTATAATTACTAAATACTTGAATGTACTATTTGAATAAAAATTTAATTGTTAACAACGAAAATGATCATTTTGATCAAATTGGCAAATTCTACACCAAAAATCAGCTATAAATCACAATTCATAAAATGTAGTAGCCTCTATGACTATAATGAACCTGGTTAGGCACATTAAGATCCACATTATCAGCAGTTTTGGACATCGATTGCTCAAATATTGACCAAAACATTCCATATCTTCACTCTATAAAATCTTGATCCACTGTAAATTGGGCTATTTGCACCAAAAAAGTCCATTTTCGATACCCACTTTTACTCACAGGGCAACTGAAAAAAAGTTTGGGAAATTTTCTTTTTTGTCTATTAAGTAAAGTTGTGTAAAATGTAAATACGGGTCTGCCAGTGCTTTTCAGAGAAGAAACAAGTGTGAATTCGTGGAGATATCTACTACTTTAAAAAAGTCTTAATTTGCTAAGGAAGTATATAAAAAAGGCAAATAATCTATTCACACCACACGGTTAAATGTATAACATCCATCGGAAATATTTGCTATCCGTTTTTTTTGCATCTGCTCACAGATATTGACGTTCGAACCTAGTTGTTTTTATGCATGCTATATACTTTTTTTCTGCTAATAATTTGAGCACAATGTTTCTCTGGAGAGCTACATTTGCTTTCATTGTGGCTTTCTTACCGTATATTTAACTCATGTAAAGCAGAAGGTGGTTAAGCATACAGCAATTCAATCTGATCCCTAACTATCAGTAGTAACTTATAGAAGCCAAATTAGTTTGGTTAATCAACAGCGTACTGATCTATTCCCGTATAATATAGCTTCCAGCTAGATTTAATTAGTAAACCTATTATAATAGTATTACTTTAACGTTTAATATATATATATATACAAGCTATATACGTTGTAAACGTCGTGTCCCAAAATGGCTGTATAGTTTTGTGCCCGCATAATAACTTAAATCCTCTGAAATACTAGAATCCTCTAAATATCCACAATCACCACAACATTTTCGATAGAGCTTTTTTTTATTAACACAATAGCATACAGCAGATTTGAATCGAATGAAAAAGTCTCTAAAGTCAAGATCTGATTTCCAAGATTTCTTTGGTTCTTAATAGTTCATTATTCTTTCAGAATATTACAAGGATAAAACATTAAAAATCATGATACAAGAGAATAAACGAAAGGAGGATATTGCTTCACTTGTTTAGCTGAAGTAACAAAGAAATAGCAAAGGAGTAGAAGAATTTGAAAAGGAAAGAGATATATATAGAATGAAGCATCATTAAACCAAAATTATACTTTAAAATACACATCCGCCCACACACCCTTAAAACCCTTAGGCATATTCTTTTAAAGAAATCCTACTGAAGCCACCCACCTTTTTGTTCACAGTATTATAAGCAGAGATGCAATTGCTCATAAACTCTTTACAGAGCGTCTGAGCATATTCAATGTCGTACTCCCCAATCTCCCGTGCAAGAGATCTATTTATTATGTCTGTCTCGTCCAAGCATATCTGATATTTGTTTTTATCACATCGGTTGTTTTTAGTTATTTAAGACCAATTGACTAACATTGCCATTACTATACTGTTAAGTATAAGTATGTTCAACTGGCAGTGCGGTATGTTGATAGAGAGTTTTCCGCTTTTCATCGGTTCAGATCCATCAAACTTGATGTATTCTAGTCCCAGGAATAAAAGTTGGTTAAAGCAAAAAAAAAATGCTTTTAAAGACTTGTGTGTCTATACCGACATTAATAAGCTCCAGTATTTGTGGTGGATGTGGGCTATGACTACAATTTGACTGCTAGGAGAGGTACAAGTTGGCTGAATCCATGTTTAATCATATTAATGATGTGTATTTATTTAGAATAATGTCAATTTCAATAAGACAACGGGTTTTTGATATGCAACTCGGCTAAGACAAAGAGAAACATAATATGTTAGAAACCGGCTCTCTCCTAGCTAAGTAAATCAAACCTACCTATAGAAGCCTCAATAATTCAGACATAACGCTAAGCTAGCTGTTGAGACGAATCAGCAAGTATGTATCACAGTGGTTAAGGGTAGCCTTAGCTCTTTCTACTTTTGTGCCAAAATCTTAAAGAGTGTCGTAAAATAAAAAAAAAGCTTATATTCATTGAAAGATCCCAAAAATATGATTGTCTTTTCTAGACGATGAAAGAATTGGTTTATAATTGATACTAATAGAATGCCTTTTTGATAATGTCTTTCATCACAAGTTATTTTACGTCATGGAACTTTTTTCATAAGGTCTTTCAAATTTAATACCGATTAGATTTGGGTATTTGAGCACAGAGTAAAATATCCAAAAATCGTCAACGGAATCATTATTATACAGATTTTTGCATTCAAAAATGAGAAAATCAAATCAATTTTCTGAGGTAGACACAGGTTTAATTTGAAAAGGTTTACAGTTAGAAAAAATCGATGTTTTTATCAGCCTGACCTTCACAAATTGTCTCCAAAAGATTACTTACTACAAATACTAATACATTCTATAGCTTGATCAGCAGTGAGACCTGGTTTTCTTTTAACCGAATCTTTTCTTTGTAAAACAATTCTCTAGGAGGGGTTTAAGAATTAGCGATATAAAAGAAGGATATTACATCTGTGCCTTGTGTGGGTGCGTAAGAAATAGCTTAAAAGCTTGCTTGTATGTATGGAAACATTGTCCATAATAAAGTAATAGGAAATGGAATTTTCTCTATCTAAACTCGCTGGGATTTGCTTGGCAAATTGAAGGAATAGCTGTGCGTCTGTATCGTCTACAACCATTTTCGCCATAACGTATTTGACACCTTGATAGAAGACAACTAGAATAATTGAAATATTTGATGCTTATTCGGTTTTGTTTAATCAACCTCTCCCCCTAATTAAGCTGGTATTTGATGAAGATTTATCAACAAAAAGACAACATGTTTTGTAAGATATCCAATGTTGCTGGACTATGCTAACAAACTTTAATCTACTTTGGATCAAATCTGATGCGTTTTTTCTTTTCTTTGACAGGTTTTGTTTTTTGTAGTGCGAATCCAACTTTTGCATATATATATATATATATGTCAGTATGTGTTTGTTAATGTGCAGAGATAAAGATGTTTACACCCTTAAGAGCAAGAAACTGGTCTAACAATTTGTCCTTGGTGATCTCAATGGTTACCTAATATTCTCCATAAAAAGCATCCTGGATAAACTCAGCATGTTCTTCTCTGAGCTATATATATATATTTCAATAAATAGCTATAAGAAATATATCACTTATATAGTAGTTACTGTGTGTATATTATAGTTTTATTTTTGGTTATAGATAACATACAAGCACTATCATTATGCTGTTATGTGAGAATTGCGGACTAGATTTTTGAAAGATGGACTTTTTCGAACTTAACCTGTAAACTACTTTAAGAAATTGATTTGATTTTTTCACTTATGAATTTAGAACTCTATATTATTAAAGAAAAAATAGTAATAATTCATGTCACTTTTATGAATTATAGTTAATGGCATTATATTCTAACAAGAAAAAAGCTATGGAAAAATTATTGGCTATTGGCTATTGGAAAATGAAATAAATGGTAAATTTGTGCCTGACTTTTATATAATGTAACACTTCTACAATCATAGCAATGACTTTGGGAATCCTAGTGAACAAATTGCTATATATTTACAGCGACTCTTCTGATATATGGTATGTAAGCCAATATAATATTACGTTTCCAATTCAATTTTCATTCTCAAGAGCTAAAGTCTTTAGATTAACAGTTTTTAATCAATAGAACCTTCAAGATCATCAAGATGTCTAAATTACTCCAGACCAAAAACAGTTACATTTATCCCTATACTCCGTTATAGATATATTTTAACAAAAGCAAGGAAAGAGACAAAGGTAAAGACAGTCAACCATATTATTTTTTAATAATATTTTTAAAGACTAATAGGTTTTTATATTTTTTAAAAAAAAGAGACAAGAATATAAATATAATATCAAAGAAAAACAAGGGAAAATTTTATTGTTCAAAGTAAATGATTTTTGTGTACAAAGATTTTTACAAATTAAATACAAATTAAATTAAATTAAATAGAATATAAGATAGTCAAGTCCATGATAGTCCAGTCCAGCCCAGTCCAGTCCGGTTTTTTTTTGAGAAATATTTCATTCGCTTTGCAAGTATATATGTAAAGAGGATTTTGCAGCTTATTGTAATAGAGAGTCTTGGTCCAATCCGGAGCGTCGCCTCGATCCAGAGCCAGGTTCCAATGCAGTGTTCCTTCAGTTTTGATTTGATTTGATTTGATTTGATTTGATTTGATTTGATTTGATTTGATTTGATTTGAGTTGATTTGATTTGATTTGATTTGATTTGAGTTGAGTTGATTTGATTTGATTTGAGTTGATTTGATTTGAATTGTAAATGTGAGGTAAGCACCACAATAGAGTGAAGAACAGACTCCACTACCAAACACTGATTCCTTCTTGCGAATAAATCTGGCAAATTAACCATCTCCGGAACTATTACATACCAGGCACACGTACAATACCCACTTATACAATGTACTAACCATCATACAACAAGGATAAGAATTAAAAAAGATTTGAATAGTCAAATATAAACAATATTACCTTGTCTCTCTAATAAATAACACTCTCAAAGTATCTCAATATTTTGAAGAGTAGATACTTTGAGAGTGTTACTTATTAGAGAGACAAGGTAATATTGTTCATATCTGTTACCATTCAAACCCCTTGGAATTCAGATCCCTGTTGTATAATGGTTGGTTTCCACGGTATAAATGTGTAGTGCACGTGTGCCTGGTATGTAATAGTTCCGGAGATGGCTAACGTGCCAGGTTCATAGGCAAGATGGAACCAGTGGTTGGTAGTGGAGTCTGTTCTTCACTCTATTGTAGTGTGCGTGCCACAGCCAACAGGTCTTAGGATGATGCCTGAGATTTGAATTTGCCATTGGAAGAAATAATTTTTGTTTGGAACTTGCATTGGACCCCTGCTTGGAAATTGGCTTGGCCTTGAGATTTGGAAGTATAACCCAGATTTTGAACTTGATAGAAATTATGCTTGTATGTATGTATGTTCTAGGACTAGTACTCTAGCAGTACGTGGACATTGTTTGGCCATTTGGAAAGGAATTGGACTTGGACATGGACTTGGACATGGACATAGAAATGGACCTTGACTTGACTATTTTGGATATTGTGCTAGTATATATAAATTTTGACTTGATAAAGATAATTATGAGTACAATTTTTTTTGAATTTTTTCCCTTGTTTTTCTTTTTTTTTTTTGACTAGATATTTTGATTTGATTTTGGACTTTGTCCCTGATCTTGACCACATCTTGGTCCTGTGCTGTTGACCGGTTTGGCCTTTTCTTTGGCGCCCCTTGTTGGGCTTGTGGTAGGCCGGATTGGCCTCTGACCTGGCGCGCATCTTGGGCCTTTGCTGTTGGCCGGTTTGGCCTTTTCTCTGGTGCCCCTTGTTGGGCTTGTGGTGGGTCGGATTGGCTTTTGGCCTGGCGCGCATCTTGGGCCTTTGCTGTCGGCCGGTTTGGCCTTTTCTCTGGTGCCCCTTGTTGGGCTTGTGGTGGGCCGGATTGGCTTTTGACCTGGCGCGCATCTTGGTCCTGTGCTGTTGACCGGTTTGGCCTTTTCTTTGGCGCCCCTTGTTGGGCTTGTGGTAGGCCGGATTGGCCTCTGACCTGGCGCGCATCTTGGGCCTTTGCTGTTGGCCGGTTTGGCCTTTTCTCTGGTGCCCCTTGTTGGGCTTGTGGTGGGCCGGATTGGCTTTTGACCTGGCGCGCATCTTGGGCCTTTGCTGTTGACCGGTTTGGCCTTTTCTCTGGTGCCCCTTGTTGGGCTTGTGGTGGGCCGGATTGGCTTTTGACCTGGCGCGCATCTTGGGCCTTTGCTGTCGGCCGGTTTGGCCTTTTCTCTGGTGCCCCTTGTTGGGCTTGTGGTGGGCCGGATTGGCCTCTGACCTGGCGCGCATCTTGGGCCAGTACTGTTGGCCGGTTTGGCCTTTTCTCTTGCGCCCCTTGTTGGGCTTCTGGTGAGCCGTATCGGCTTTTGACGACGTGCCCAAAAGGCATGCGATAGCCAACAATTTTGTGGCAGGAATGGAACCATTTTGTTCCGCCGTAGAGGCAAATTGATTGTTGATAGAAGCAACAGGAAGCAACAGACCCGCCAGTGGGATAAATGGCTCCTACCAGTGATATAAATGGACCCGCCAGTGGAAATAATAAATTGGCCAGAAAAATAAATGGTGCCAACAATGGAAGAAAAATGGGCAGTTGGCCGTAATATAAAAAGGCCTATCTGCGGAAGATAATAGGTCCACTGGCGAGAGATAACAGGTCCACTGGTAGGAGGAAAGGGCCTACCAGTGGGAAGCAACAAACCCACTGGCAGAAAGACCCCACTGGCGGAAGCAACAGACTAACAAAAAAGCAACAAGCAACAGTACCTTTGAAATAACATAAACCGCCGTGGAAGGCATAATAAAGCAACAAGCAACGGGAGGTAACAAGCAACGGGAACTAACCAAAAAGATACCAGCCGCGCCCACCAGAAGAGAGGACAGAAAGCAACCAGTAATACATGGGAATACGGACAACGGGCTCACACGCTACACGCGCGCTTTGGGACTTGCTCGATAGACCATGGTTGACCCGTGGCTACTACTCCATCGGGTCCTTTTGGAAGAAAGAAAGAAAAAGAGAGAGCGGTCGGTCGCAAGAGTCCAAAATCGGTTCAACAAGCTCAACAAAATAATATTGCCAAGTCTTTATGAACGTCTTTTGAACTCTTACAGTCGCCAACTCCACAGGCTATGATTAATTAGTATTCAAAGTTTCATTGCGCGTAGAATGTAAATACATATACTTATCTTAAAATACCTGGACTACCCATTCATGACAAGAAAGAAACTCATGGCTATCGGAAGACCATCTTGGCTTCTGTGTATTAACGATGACCGGCCGGACACAAACCCATGTATTACCAGAAGCCTTCTATCGACCCCTCCAGCAGACGCGGCTAGTACAAAGAAAAAGGAAAAAAAGGAAAACCAAAGTTTGCAAAAATTGCTCTATACTTATAGAAAAAAAGACAGGGAGATATTGAGACTGCTCTAGATTTGGTCTAACAAAATCTATTGAAAATGCTTATCAATGGCATGTTGTGCCAAGAATGAATGCACGCTGCATAGTGCTGATCAAGTTGGACATCTATTTTTGTGAGTCTACACATATTCTTCAAGGAAAAGACCTGATTATAACTGTATACACACAAGTTGAAAAAACAAAAACATATAAATTCTTTTAAAACATAACACTGGCCTTGCTTTTCCAACCCTCAAACTGGAGCTCATACTCTTGCTATATGTAGTGCTATGCTATAGTATTTTATAAAAGTATTCACCGTTTAATAAAGGCCAGGCCTTAGAAGATTGATAGATAAAGCAAAGCTGTTGTGATGTACATAATAGAGGGGGGGTTATGCAGACAATCAAAATAAATACATACTAGGCAACTAAAGAAAAAAATACAAATTTATGCATGCATATATTACAAGTTTCATAAATATATTTCTCACTCTCTTTGCTTCCTTTCAAAGATTATCAAATTACTCATAAAGCTACTGAATCAGACACATTAAGGCAAGAGGTATTTGGTAAAGAATATAAAATTGTACAAAATATAAAAGAAATAGCTGTAGTTATCAAAAGAAATAATTTGAAGCATCTTGATAATGTGCTTCTGCTGATCAAAAAAAAAAGAAAAAGAAAAAGGAAATCCAAGAATACGCCTTGTAATTTGATCACCTGCATGTGAATTGATAAGCCCATTTATAAATAATATCTTTCTCTGAATTTTTTTTTTAAAATAAATTGTCGTGTATCTATAAACAAATTCTTTGATAGTTTATCTAGCAAAAATTGTAATAATACACACATTTATATATATATATTTGTATCTATATGGAGCTCACACAATTCTCTTATAATCACACTTGTAGAATATGACCTATAGCTTATGGCTCATAAAATAGAATAAAATAAAATCTCAAAGCTAGTGCTTTAATATTGGGGTTCTTTTGCAAATACAAGGCCAAGTGGGTATACATATAAGAATTACAATCCTTTATATAATATAAATTAATGACTTGATATACATTATGTGCTAAAGTGTTTTATAATTGTATTTTTAATTTTATTGAGATTATCAGCACATATAATACGCAGTATTTACCAGGATATATTTTCAGTTACATTTTTCAAGTCAATCTGCCGTAACCTCTTGTATCATAACAATGGGTTTATATTTCTAAAATTTGGTAGGACTGGCAAAAGAAGACATTTCTGTTGATTCTCGTATATTGATTAGACTTTATATATGTAACTGTCTGTTTCAAGATAACCAAGACTGCAATTTGGTAAGCTATATCTAAAGGTCATAAAGGTAGATGCTATAACTTTTCATGGGCTTGACACAGCTTGATATGATAGTATTTCCTTAAAGAATATATATATTTTTTAATGATTTCTGAGGTGTATTTATCAGGATTGTAAGCTCCTTATTAGATCTGCACTATTATGCACCTGTACAAATCGGGTTGATTGAGTATAAAATAAAAATATCAAAACCGATTTACATCGGTGCACATCAAAGAGTAATTCTGAAAATATGCATACAAGTAGTATCATTACTTACGAACATTCTTTAAGCTAAAAGAGCGTTTGACTATCTAACGCTCACTTGCTCTTTATCTATATACTTTATTCAAAGCAAGAAAACTGTATTTAATATATCAAATATATAGCATTATTATTACTATTTCTTTGAAAACATTTTAACCATTGGGCTGGTCAAGAGAGATATACTGAGGTTCATAGAATTGAAGCATAAATCCAGATGACATGATAGTTCTTTCTATTTATTTACTTTATAATTTATGGACATCGTTTTTCAATTTATGCAAATAGATAGTCTTTTTGCATAACAATATATACTAGAAATAATCACAATCATATGAAATCTTCACAAATACTAATTTTTTGTAAACAAGGCATATATCTATTCTGTAGAATAAATAGAGACTTCTAGCCAAATACTTTTATCAAAAGGTAGATACTATATATAATCTTTAGCTTAACAGAAAAGAATATTTAATACAATCAATATAATATAAAGCCTTCTTTTTTCTCTGAAGAGGTCTTTCTCAAAGAAAGTGTATGTTTGAGATAAAATAAATACTAAATCGTGCCATTAAGTACGCAAAGATTATCAAATTCTTGTAAACCAAATACAGATAAATAGAATTTGGCTTATCATGTATTCCTTATTTTCTAAAGAGAAAATCCCTTTTCGCAGAAAAACATTACAATATATTTTATGTGCTGATTTATGCCCTTTTACTTTCAAACATACAAGAGTATGATTAAGAGAAGTTCACAATGATTTGAATATGTTCTTTCCAGACAGTAAGCTCTTTAATATATATATATATAATGTGTAAAAAGAAAATAATAATATCAATTTTTGTTAAAGGAATATGTCACTTTGTTTTGAAAATCTTTATGGCTTATCAAAGAGATAAAAAATAAACTAAAAACCATATGAATGCACTCCTTAGTTTCCGTGTAGATATCAATATATTGATTGGAATGCTTACGTGGAATTCTTGTCTGATAAGAAAAATAAAACTATAAAAGAAAGAGAAATCTCTTCGCGCTTGATTTTCTCCTTGTACCCATTTTTCATCGCTTGTTTTATACAATGCCACGCTTCACAGCTCTCACCAACCTTTCCTTTGCCGCTCCCAAGCGTGCTAAAGCCTGCCGTTACCAACCGTACCCTGCCCAGTCCGTCCGTTGCGCTCTTCGTGCGAGTGCAAAGAGCCCTCTTGGGGCGATTGGTGTCTCTTCTACTGGTGGGTTTGTTGGGACCCAAGTGACCTCTCCTGAGGTGTTTGGTGGGTCGGGTGAGACCCAAGGTAATTATTTCATACACTCTTTCAGGAAATTATTTGTGCAGAGATAAAAATCGTTTTGATGCACTAATAGTTTCTGGAAAAAGTGTATTTTATTTAATTTAATTTTGCACATCTCTAATGTTTTTCTTTTATATTATACTATTCCATAGCTGTTCCTAGAGGAACAAAGCGTCCTTGTCCGGAGGACTTCACCTCCACGGCCCATATGGCCAAGCGCCTGGAGGTGGTAACCATTCGGGCGTTAAGAAGACCCGCTGGGAGGGGACCTCGTGGATTCCTGTTGTCCACGAGCCCTGCCCGACGGGTGGCTCTTAAGAGGAGCCTGAGATTGATCAGGCACGTAGTCTTTGAACTACAAATAAGAGGAGTGATCAGTATGACGGGTCAGATCAATGACCCTTTGCCCTCACACTGCAATATGCCTACCACGTCTGTTCTTGCTCCTGTCCCTGTCCCTGCTCCAGTGTCTGCTTCTGCTTCTGCTTCTGCTCCTGCTCCTGCTTCTGTCACCCCTCCCGTTCGTTCTCTCACCTGCTCCTCCTCCCGAATTGTTACCAGTTCTTCATCTGGATTCTTCTCTCCCTCGCCATCTCCATCACCTTCTCCATCACCTCCGTCATCTCGCTCTCCATCACCTGAGCCAAACTCATCTCGCTCTCCTTCGCCTGAGCTGGAAACATCTCTCTCTTTGTTTCAAAAAATGTCATCATCAGAGACATCAGAGCCATCATCAGCAATTACTCCTGGTAGCACATACACCAAGGTGATGAACATTGCTGCAGATACAACACAAACTATTACGTCTAGTGTTGTATCTGTAGTAGGCGCTATTAAAAAGTTCTTCTCTTGGGAGTAAGACAAGATATAACCATAAAAAATGTTTTAATGCTCATCAAAAACAACAGGAAGCAACAGATACTAATAAGCAACAGATACTAACAAGCAACAGCTACTAACAAGCAACGGGAACTAACCATACTAACATAAACATTAACCACTAAACCAAAACATTAACTACTCAAATTAAAAAACAAAACAAAAGACTACTAAACCTAACAATTAGCAAAGACAAAGTCAAAGCTAAAGTCAAGGTCAAATCCAAAGTCATGGCAAAATCCAAATCTGAAATTGAAACTGAAAAGGGAACCAGAAAAAGAGAGGATGGGGAAAAGTCAAAAGGAAATTAAAATTAAAATTATTATAAATATATAGTCTCCAAAACTTGTACTATTATCATTAGTAATATTATCATTATTACCATTAGTATTATCATTAATATCATTACCAGTATTATCATTAGTCTTATCATTATTCTCATTACCATTATTACCATTAGTCTTATCATTAATATCATTGTCATTGTCATTATCATTATCATTAGTATAGGGCTACATAGTTTCTGTGTAGCGCATAGACAGAGAATTCACTATGTATTAAAAGGTTTATTAAGCAACACATACACCTTTAGTGGTCAAAAGGTGTTTCGATCTCAGGTAAGTTATAAAATTAAGAAAAAAAGAAATTATCAGTGTCGTCTTCTTGTTAATTGATCTCAGCATAAAATACCGTCTACGTCAGGAACCAGTCATTCTCCTTTATAATAAAAGCTAATGAGATTAAAGACAGATTGTAAAAATTTACTTTTTTTTTCATTTTGCAAAAGATAGTCTGACCACACTTCTCGTATCAAGTCCTAACCAACACCCAAAAAACAACAACAAATGAACAAACAAAAGAAAGAAAGAATAAAAATACACCAGATACACAAATGAGAGACATCTTTTGTAGATTGAATAAAAGACTCCATGTATTTCCTATTAGAATCTGAGATTGGGATTAAAGGAAACAATGATTACAGTTTGTAAATTGTCAGCAATCAACTCTCTCAAGTATTTCGCATCGGTTTCTATTTTACAGTCCTCAAGCTAATTTTGACAACACACACGCATACGCACACGCAAAAAAAAGCTTACTACAATGACCCAAAGCTCATGTTAATTGGACAAATGGAGAATGAAGAACCACAATTGGGTCTGATGGATCAAGATGAAAATTCACAACTTGTCAAAAAAGTCGGCAAGACATATGAACAAAGGTATATAGCTCTAAAAATAAAGTCAAAGAAACGATATTGTTATACGTTCGAGTTGTCTTTGAACTGAAAAAGTTTTTACCGGCTATTTCCTAGGACCTTTGGTTTTTATTAAAGGTGCTGTGAATCAAGGCGAATATGTTAATACTTTGACACAGAATCTCATTCCTTGAATTATATCCTTTAAAAAATATCATTATAGGAGGTTCATATTTCAAGAAGATTGTTCTACCTATCATATAGAACCAGACACAAAAGTGGCAAAAAGACGACTATGTGACCAAGCCTTTTTAATTAACTGCTCTTCCCAAGGTCTAGGGAAGAACCCCATTGAGCATAAATATTTAGAGGTACGATATATTGAAATTGGAAGGTTTATTTTAAAAGGGCCAATTATGGGTTAATAATCAAAAAGAGTAACAATACATATACAGCTATTTATTGATTTCTCATTATTTTATAAAAGCCACTAATGTCATGAAATAATCTAAAGAGAAAAGTATTTAATGACCTTGTCACATATTGAAAGCACTTCAATGGCGATCAAACGAGTAATAACAGCTTTCAGCGCTCATTTTACAGGATATCACTCATGCTCCTTGTGGTACAATATTAGGGGTTAGCATAGGTGGGGTTTTACATGGCCTTGTTTTGTAAGTATTTGGTTTTGCTTGGTTTTTGGATATTATCCTACGGTACGAAGATCGGATCTGATTGACAGGAACAAGGAAAGCTGACTATGCTTGTGATATGGTAAAGTGTATTGGATAATAGACTAGTGGAGTGTATATTGTCCGATAAGTTAAGATGAGGCTTCTGATATCAAATAATACTAGGAAAATAAAAGGGTTTTGTAGTGAAAGGTGAACGGTGTAAAAGTACCCGCACCATAAATATACTCAAGTTTGTCAAGGACTTGTGGATCATTTGATATTTTTATTTCTTTTTCTAAATAGAGGGAATTAGATCTTTTATATTATCAGAGGGAAGCATTGACTGGGACAAGTGCATGAGTCTGTTTTTAAAGTGTCTTGAATCCTTTGGTATTGGTAAGCAAAACGTCATGAACATATTATATTCAGTATAAGAGAAATGTGTATTATATTACACCAGTGCTTACACTACTTGGTACTGGAAAGAGATAACATATAATGGACTGTTGTGACATTTTTGGTGTATACAGGGTTTGTATTTCCATCCTATAGAGCATTACGGGGATTATGATGCTCTTGAAATAAATCAAAATCTGGGAATCGTAAAAGAGATTTATATGAGAGCTCAAAGTGTTGATCTACAAGGTATGGTTGAATTATCTCAAAGTCCTTTTTAGAGAGAAGTTGTCTTTGGTAAGTGCGTGAAATATAGTGCATATAATATAATTAATATATTAATGTAGTTATAAGAAACTTTAAACCAATATACTTCTCTTCAAAAAGATTAGCTTTATTATATATGGCTACAAGAAAAATAGGATGAATAAAAAGCTTTTAAAAAAAAAGAATTCTGCCTAGACATTTACCAAAATTGGGTTTGTGTGTAAAAGAGTGTTTATTGCTCTTTAATATATTTGATAATGCAGATGAGACGAGCTGTGCTAGTTTATGTAAAGAAGTGGCCCAGACGGCTAACAGAAAAAAAAGAATATATATCGATCTTCTCTAACAGCTTATTAGCTCAAATATTGGCAATTGACCGTTTTTCGTTTTGAAAAAAGAAAAAAGAAAATATAAGTGATGTTTAAGGATGGTCTTTATTGCTTTCATCTTTCGATGTTTGTATAAATATTTTGATAATTAATAAAATATTATTTTCGGTAAGATATTACTAAGCTATTGCTAAGATGTCAGAATAAACTATGCTTCTTTGGATAATTAATAATAGATAAGAGAAAGAAATAGAAATATATTATATGCTTTGGTCAGTCAAAAATGTGAATATACACGCAATGTGTCAACTTTATAGAGCTACTCTCACTCACACAACCGACTCCATTACTTTCTCTTTATAAACACAAAAAATAACTATCCAGTATACACCAGTAGCACCTTCAGCTAGATGTTTCAATTCTTCTACCTATCAACTTTGGAACGACCCCCATGCACTCTTTCTTCAATTGGCTCAGATAAAATCGTTCAATACTGTGCTCCATCAGAGAGTATGGATCAAATAAGAAACTTATTTTACTTGGCTGCCTTTAAGTAAAACTACTCACGCATAATAGCTACACAAGCCAATGCCTATTCCTTTGTGCTTCCAAATTAAATTGATCCTTGGCTGCGGTTGTCTTTTTCCTTCTCTTACCTTTTTTATTATCTTTTCCATTCTTTTTGCATTAGCATTCGCAATTATCTGTACGCATGAAGTTTAAGCAACAAAAACTCGGCCATAATAATCTAATTCGATGGAAATTACGGCTATGCCTGTTCTTTTACGGTTACGTCTGGTACTATATGCAATATATTATATATATTTACTTTTTAGATATTAAAAGAGTATCTAATTGTATTTTGTAAATCAAGAATTTTAGCTTATCTATGCTTATTATATCATCTTTTTTTCTTTCTTTTTTCATATTAAATTTCTCATTTTTAATATGGTATATGAGAAATACAAGTAGAAAGTCCTTCAATATTGTTTAAATCTGGTATCTGCGTACACTGTTCATATTATGACTGCTCACAGGATTTTACCCTTTTATCTTACTAGAACCTATAGATGCTATCAATACAAATTGCTCGCTTATCTTTGAAAAAGTCCATTTTTCTGATATGTAGTTTATTATTATAATTGAATAATAAAGGTACTTGCCATTCAACTAACCAGCAAAATTGGCTTGGCCAAAGTCTCCTATGAATGTTCCAAAGACTCAAGTCCACGTATTTACTAGACAAAAGAAAACAGTACTTAGATTCGAACATATTTTTTAGTGGTAAATAAAATAATATATATTTATTTGTGTAAAATACAGTTAGTAATACTAGCTATAGCAAATACAAGTACAAGATTTATAAACAATTTACATTGTCACAAAGAGAAGAATTATTGTTACATAAATATTATTCGGCTATACATACAATGTCTTTTCTTTTTCTATTAAAAAAAGAACAAAATATAACCATTTGTCTTTTATACCTGAGCAGAATAAAAACTACTTGTATACCCACTTGGCCTTGTATTTGCAAAAGAACCCCAATATTAAAGCACTAGCTTTGAGATTTTATTTTATTCTATTTTATGAGCCATAAGCTATAGGTCATATTCTACAAGTGTGATTATAAGAGAATTGTGTGAGCTACATATAGATACAAAGATATATATAAATGTGTGTATTATTACAATTTTTTGCTAGATAAACTATCAAAGAATTTGTTTATAGATACACGACAATTTATTTTAAAAAAAATTCAGAGAAAGATATTATTTATAAATGGGCTTATCAATTCACATGCAGGTGATCAAATTACAAGGCGTATTCTTGGATTTCCTTTTTCTTTCTCTTTTTTTTTTGATCAGCAGAAGCACATTATCAAGATGCTTCAAATTATTTCTTTTGATAACTACAGCTATTTCTTTTATATTTTGTACAATTTTATATTCTTTACCAAATACTTCTTGTCTTAATGTGTCTGATTCAGTAGCTTTATGAGTAATTTGATAATCTTTGAAAGGAAGCAAAGAGAGTGAGAAATATATTTATGAAACTTGTAATATATGCATGCATAAATTTGTATTTTTTTCTTTAGTTGCCTAGTATGTATTTATTTTGATTGTCTGCATAACCCCCCCTATTATGTACATCACAACAGCTTTGCTTTATCTATCAATCTTCTAAGGCCTGGCCTTTATTAAACGGTGAATACTTTTATAAAATACTATAGCATAGCACTACATATAGCAAGAGTATGAGCTCCAGTTTGAGGGTTGGAAAAGCAAGGCCAGTGTTATGTTTTAAAAGAATTTATATGTTTTTGTTTTTTCAACTTGTGTGTATACAGTTATAATCAGGTCTTTTCCTTGAAGAATATGTGTAGACTCACAAAAATAGATGTCCAACTTGATCAGCACTATGCAGCGTGCATTCATTCTTGGCACAACATGCCATTGATAAGCATTTTCAATAGATTTTGTTAGACCAAATCTAGAGCAGTCTCAATATCTCCCTGTCTTTTTTTCTATAAGTATAGAGCAATTTTTGCAAACTTTGGTTTTCTTTTTTTTCCTTTTTCTTTGTACTAGCCGCGTCTACTGGAGGGGTCGATGGAAGGCTTCTGGTAATACATGGGTTTGTGTCCGGCCGGTCATCGTTAATACACAGAAGCCAAGATGGTCTTCCGATAGCCATGAGTTTCTTTCTTGTCATGAATGGGTAGTCCAGGCATTTTAAGATAAGTATATGTATTTACATTCTACGCGCAATGAAACTTTGAATACTAATTAATCATAGCCTGTGGAGTTGGCGACTGTAAGAGTTCAAAAGACGTTCATAAAGACTTGGCAATATTATTTTGTTGAGCTTGTTGAACCGATTTTGGACTCTTGCGACCGACCGCTCTCTCTTTTTCTTTCTTTCTTCCAAAAGGACCCGATGGAGTAGTAGCCACGGGTCAACCATGGTCTATCGAGCAAGTCCCAAAGCGCGCGTGTAGCGTGTGAGCCCGTTGTCCGTATTCCCATGTATTACTGGTTGCTTTCTGTCCTCTCTTCTGGTGGGCGCGGCTGGTATCTTTTTGGTTAGTTCCCGTTGCTTGTTACCTCCCGTTGCTTGTTGCTTTATTATGCCTTCCACGGCGGTTTATGTTATTTCAAAGGTACTGCTGCTTGTTGCTTTTTTGTTAGTCTGTTGCTTCCGCCAGTGGGTTTGTTGCTTCCCACTGGTAGGCCCTTTCCTCCTACCAGTGGACCTGTTATCTCTCGCCAGTGGACCTATTATCTTCCGCAGATAGGCCTTTTTATATTACGGCCAACTGCCCATTTTTCTTCCATTGTTGGCACCATTTATTTTTCTGGCCAATTTATTATTTCCACTGGCGGGTCCATTTATATCACTGGTAGGAGCCATTTATCCCACTGGCGGGTCTGTTGCTTCCTGTTGCTTCTATCAACAATCAATTTGCCTCTACGGCGGAACAAAATGGTTCCATTCCTGCCACAAAATTGTTGGCTATCGCATGCCTTTTGGGCACGTCGTCAAAAGCCGATACGGCTCACCAGAAGCCCAACAAGGGGCGCAAGAGAAAAGGCCAAACCGGCCAACAGTACTGGCCCAAGATGCGCGCCAGGTCAGAGGCCAATCCGGCCCACCACAAGCCCAACAAGGGGCACCAGAGAAAAGGCCAAACCGGCCGACAGCAAAGGCCCAAGATGCGCGCCAGGTCAAAAGCCAATCCGGCCCACCACAAGCCCAACAAGGGGCACCAGAGAAAAGGCCAAACCGGTCAACAGCAAAGGCCCAAGATGCGCGCCAGGTCAAAAGCCAATCCGGCCCACCACAAGCCCAACAAGGGGCACCAGAGAAAAGGCCAAACCGGCCAACAGCAAAGGCCCAAGATGCGCGCCAGGTCAGAGGCCAATCCGGCCTACCACAAGCCCAACAAGGGGCGCCAAAGAAAAGGCCAAACCGGTCAACAGCACAGGACCAAGATGTGGTCAAGATCAGGGACAAAGTCCAAAATCAAATCAAAATATCTAGTCAAAAAAAAAAGAAAAACAAGGGAAAAAATTCAAAAAAAATTGTACTCATAATTATCCTTATCAAGTCAAAATTTATATATACTAGCACAATATCCAAAATAGTCAAGTCAAGATCCATTTCTATGTCCATGTCCAAGTCCATGTCCAAGTCCAATTCCTTTCCAAATGGCCAAACAATGTCCACGTACTGCTAGAGTACTAGTCCTAGAACATACATACATACAAGCATAATTTCTATCAAGTTCAAAATCTGGGTTATACTTCCAAATCTCAAGGCCAA